GTCCGCCTCGGTATACCACCAATTCGACTGGTGGGCACGGACCGCTTTTCCACCACACAGCGCGCTATCCAGTAGAGTATTATACCATGGTCTGACCTTGACTAAATGCGTACGTTGTGCACTAGTGTAGTTGACAACTAACAGTTCATAGAACAACAGTTTGTACAACAGTTTGTAGAAATTTTAAATTTAAATAACAATAGATTGCTCAAATACAAATCCACTCTTAAACAGGTAATAAGAGGTGTTCCTCAAGGGTCCATATTGGGACCTTTGTTATTCACATGCTACATAAAAGACATGCCAAAATTACATAATAATTATAGCTTATGTCTTTATGCTGATGACGCCAATCTTCAAATAAATGGGCACTCTATTGAGGAGGTTGAGTTGTCATCATTTTCAAACCTGGCTCTTTTAAATCAGTTTTTCCAAAATAATAGTTTAGTACTAAACTCTGCTAAAACAAATTTCATTGAATTCAAAACTTATCAAAATAATAAAAATATGCTGTCACCTACCATCATTCTAAATGAAACTGAATTAGAGAAGGTGTATGAATCTAAATTTTTAGGATTAACTATAGACAGCAACTTGTCTTGGAACAGCCATGTCAATAATCTAGTTTCTAAATTAAACTCTGGGGTATATGCACTAAGGAGGCTCTCAAAAATTTGTTCAACAGAGACTCTGAAAATAGTGTATTTCGCCTATATTCATTCAAATATCGCCTTTGGTCTTTCATTATATGGGGCAACTTCCATTCAAAATTTGAACAAAATACTAAAAATTCAGGAACAATCAATTCAGATTATATTAAAATTAAATTATAATGAATCGGTAAAACTCTTTTTTTCTAAAATTGGTATCATGACTGTATATGCAATGTACATTTATGAAACTATAATTTCTGTGAAAAACCGTCAGGACCAACTTCATTTTGTTGGAGATACTCATAATTATAATACAAGATTCAGGAATAGAATTGGCATTGACAAACATAAACTTGGATTTTATGAAAAAAAGCCAATGTATATGGGGTCAAAATTTTATAATATGTTACCAAAAGCCATTAAATCTGAGAAAAATATTAATAAATTCAAAAATCAACTAAAAAAATATCTTATTGATTTAACATTATATTCTTTCTCCGAATTCCCATGTAAAAATGATGTGTAAAGAAAGTTTTTAGTTCTGTTTTTCTTTTCATGCACATAACTATATCTTTTGTTTTGACAGCCTTAGTATTAACCAATCTTAGTTATAATGTATCTTAGTATTCATTAATATTGACACCATTCTATGTACAGAGTACTAATATTGAATAAAGATTTTATTGATTGATTGATTGATACTCAATGTCAGTTGACAATCAATGTCAACTAAACTTTCTTGAAAATGGCGTTTGCCGTGTATGTAATAAATAAATAAATAAAAATACTTCATTTCACTAATACTAGCTTCATTCTACTCGTAATCATTGGTTCAGGACACGAACTGTGGTTGCGGTGCTGTTTCTTTGCGTGTTACTAGCAATATTATTTTCGTGAATGATTTCGTTTTCAAATAAACTATTTGTCTTTGAAAATACGTACCATACTGTATTCTTTTAATACTTTTCGATGAAACGCTACCATACAAAGTAGGTATTTTAAGCCAAGTAAGAATGGAGATGAGTATTCAGTATTCAGTTGTCATCTTCCCGCGCGCGCGCATGCGCAGACGGCTCGGCGCCATGGTTTTGGGGATGGGGATGGGATTTTGAGACTGTAGCCTAGTAGAGCAGTATAAGGCCTCTTAGCCACTTATAACCCCTCTCTATACTAAATACTAAATAAATAAATATACTATTTGACCGAAAACTTGATCTTGGCAAGAGGTCATCGGTGCAGAGTAATTTAGTATATTGAAGCGCTGTTGTATGCCTACGGTCAGGAAGAAAATAAAAAAAGTGTTGTTAAAAATTACCATGTTATTCTTATGGAGAAAATTTAAACCGTTTTAATTTACTTGTTTATGGATATACTGTATGTTGATAACATTTGGCAAATTCATTAATTTCATTCTACTGACGTATGGTCAAGAAACACTTTTTACCTTCCCCGTAGCAGCAAACCTAAGCACTCGTTAAATCTAATGTTATTTAATTAAATAGGAATAAGTTTGTCTTACTTATGGAAATATTTTAGTAAAAAATACTGTAATCACACAAGTTGAAATTCGCTTAGTGAATAGTTTTGCTGCGACAGGGTATTTTATTTGTAGCCCGTGTTATGACTTGTACTGGATTTGAACTTGAAGTTGAATGGCTGAGTGGTCAATAGTCTAGCTAGAACATTTGAGGTATCAGATTCAAGTCCCCAACTTGGAGGGGTTAATTACAAAAATTTAAGAATGCTGTTTTAATACAGTACTATTGAGTACTGGTTTTCTTAAACTACTTTTATTATGGTTGTTATTACAACAATCTCATACCCGACGTTTATAAACAAACTTATATTTTGGTAAAGTTTTAAAGCTGTATCTGTGCAAGCAAGTTGCGTTGGCTGAGTATAACTGTTTACAAAGAGGACAGTATACTCATACGTGTAAAAACGGTGATGACGCAAAGATAGAACAGAATCAACCGAGAGGAGGGGAAATATCGATCGATGGCTGTGGTGGGAGAGCCGACGACAGGTTGAGCCGTTGGCCGCATGGCCGCGCCACTGCACAGCGCCTTGAAGAGCGCTTGCAAGCCTTTCGAGTCTGCGTGTTTACATAGTTATAATTCAACTTTTTAGTAAACTAATTCCAGGTTCTCGTTTTTAAGAATCTATTGCAGGTTTCCCGTTTTTTATTTTTTCTCTAAAAATTATTTTAATGTATTAAAACTCATGATAAAAAACGCCTATTTTTACATTTTTCACCAACCTTTGAGCCCAAAATTTTTTTAATTATCAAAATTTAAAAAAAACGGGAAACCTACAATAACATTTAACGAAAAATATGACACCAAGATCTTTTAAATCGGTTCACAATTGGGGCTACAATCAGGAAGAACTAAAACCCTTACATTTGCGCGAGCCAGACGGGTAGAGCGCACCCTTAAAGGAATTCAACCTTTCCTAACTATTGTTAATCATATTTTTAATAGATATAGGCCTAGTCACTATTTGACTCAAAGGAACACTATCATCTGATTCTGAACCACTCATTTTAATCACAGAATCCTTAACAAATAAATATTTTAAAACTATATTGTACAATTAGGCCTAAATAAATTACCTACACAGCCTATCCCAGGGTGTATGTTCTTTTTATTAGTTCAATTAATTAAATTAACAGCCCAACCGTTGGCTGCCATTTTGTGTTGTTTCTTTGTTTAATATTGTCTATTTGAAATTTAAGTGACAATATTTACTTTAAATTTATATTTAATAATTTCTTATAGCATGACATCTTGTGGGTTATTCAACAAATAATAAACTTTCACTTGTTTTATAGCTAATTACCTTTATTATATTTGTATCACTTTTGTCTTGGTAACACATAATGCAAAGTCCAATTATTATATTTCCTCTAATCGTTAAAGATCATTCCGCTACCTAAAGCCATAAAGCCTTAAAGCCATCGCGCAGTCATACTTCGTTGACAGGAGGAACCACCGGCCATTTTCTTACGCACGAAGATTTGTGTTCACAGTCACCAATGTACTAAGTTATCCTCTTTGCTTATTAGAATTCCGACGCAACTTCATACGATAAAATGCGATGTTAGAGGATATTTGTATTATAATCGGATCAGTCCAACGACTAAAGGCAATTTATAATTAACTCTCGCACAAGATAACGAGTCAGTTCATTATGGCGTCTGCTCGCTGACTCCTCTGCCCTCGCTATCCTCTAACCACGCCCTCTGGATCTAGTCTCAAACCCCGAGCATCTGCTCTGATTGGTTCCAAAGCTAAGTGCCCACGGGTATTGATTTTACGAATCCCGACGGTATATGAAGTTTTCCAACCACCGAATTTATTCAATAATGTTTACCTATTTATTTAGTTTAGTATACAAATCTATTATTTATTTGTTTACCGATATAATCGACCCGAAACAAAGGGTATATTTATAATATAAAATGGTTTATGTTACCTTTTGCGTCAAACGATCCTTGATTTAGTTAAAATCAACTACAGCTGTTTCATGCCACTGGGGCACATCTTCAGGTTGTTGAACGTTCAAATAAAAGAGCTTTCATCCGTGGATGAGTTTGTCAATATGAATAATTACTGTTACACACAAAATACAAGAATACAAAACGTTTAAACAACAAAATTTAACTTGGCCAAGTAACGAACACATAAGGTAGGCGCCGGTAGATGTTGCGTCATGACTGCTGGTGTGTGTCCAAGCATCAGCTGTTACCCCTTCCCCCCTACTCCTTTATTAGGATCTGTTTTGTTTTGGTCTAATTGAATGGTAGTATTAATTGTAAATAGAGGAATTCGAAACTCAAAAACTCAAAATTTCAAAAATCGTGTCTTTTAAATGATTTTGCATTTGTGTATTTTGTATGTAACAGTAATTATTTATATTTGATAATTTACGTTTGACAACCTGGAGATGTGCCCCAGTGGCATGAAACAGCTGTAGTTGATTGTAACTACCTCAAGGATCGTGTGACGCAAAAGTTAACGTAAACAATTTTATATTGCATTTTTCAATCCAGGGGCTAACTTATCATATGTTTATAAAGTGAAGTGTGCGTAAATCTTTATCCCGTAGGAGATTAAGGAAGATGTTTTCCCTTTTGCGAGCTGCTCTCTACTGCCCCAATGTTAACATTTGTGCTTTGTGAAGTAAAGAGTCTGAACTTTTTATTGTCAGATATGCAAAAAATATAGTTTTAGAGTTCAAATTACTTGTGTACTAAAATTTCTCTTGATTCTGTGTAGTCTTCCATACTATACTATTTCACCTCATTTATTTACCCTAACATTGATTGTAAGAGTCTTTTTAAAGGTCACATTTCTGGGGGAAGAAGCAGAAGATGCAGGAGGGGTTAGAAAGGAGTTCTTTCTTTTACTACTGAGGGAAATACTTGATCCCAAGTATGGAATGTTTCGTTCTTATGAGGAGACTAATGCTATTTGGTTCTCTGAGAGCTCATTTGAAGATGAAATTATGTACTTCCTAATCGGTAAGTGGCAATCTCACTAAAACAAGCAAGAAGCCCAAATGAATAGTTTTTAAACATATTTTATACAGTCATGGAGTTTTGTTTTAAACAATAGACAATATTCTTTATTAACATATTCGTTGAGAATAGTACAGCGTCATATTTACAGGTGGGTAACAGAAACATTTCATTTTTTAAGGTCATGCGATGAATTCTTTTTCGGTGTAGAATGGTCTCACTAGCAGCCAGTCTGTAAGATTTTTTGTGAAAGCGGCTGAATTATTCTGTTGTTTAAGTTGTTCTGGAAGGAGGTTGAAGTATTTAAGTTTGGGCAAAAATTTAAGACTTTTAGATTTTTTTTAAAGATACGAGATTTATTTTACGAGATTTTGCCAATCGTGACTCGAAAATGTTACGCACGCAAAATATTGTTCAAATTATAATAGCAGTTATATTGATCTGTTAGTGCTACAAGGTTCGTTTATATATGAAAATAAAAGTTTAGAATCTCCTCTTTCCAATAGTATCAAAACTATTACACTTCTGGATAATTTTCATTGCCTGGTAAGCGTTTGAACAAAAATGTCCGAACCATCGTTTAACGGCGTTTGGGCACCGAGCGCACACATGAAACCGCCGTCCAAACGGTGGAAGGCAGTCCTAGGGTTAATTTAAACTTTATAAACAGTGTAATGCTTATCAATGCATTCAGTACTAAGACAGTCGTAGGTGTCAGCTGTTAAACAAATCACATTCAATAGATGACAATGAAAGACTGAAGGTTATGGTAAAGTAAAAAGCCAAATAGGAAAAATAACAAACATGAAAACTTGTATAGTCCATCCAATATGAGTAAATATTATATAGTTATTTCTTGCTAGAGGCAAATCCGGATTATTGACAGTCTGGATTTTTGATGTCCGAATTATCTACGTTCTACTGTAGTTGATTTTGCAGAATTATTTGATCAAATGTACCAAAAAGCGTTCTTATCTCGTATTTTTGCTAAACATAACCTAACCTGTACGTGTTTTAGGGCTGCTATGTGGCCTGGCCATCTATAACTTCACCATCATCGCACTGCCGTTCCCTCTGGCTCTGTACAAGAAGCTGCTAGGAGAGCCAGTGTCATTACAAGACCTGGCTGGTCTGTCTCCCACCATGGCTCGTAGTCTGCAACAGCTGCTTGACTACCAGGAGTCTGATGTGGAGGACGTCTTCTGTCTCAATTTTGAACTGGTCAGGGAGGTCTTTGGGGAGACCAAACACTACCCTCTCAAACAAGGTGGAGAGAAGATACCAGTCACTCATGAGAACAAGTGAGCCACCATTATCAATCTTTTTTTTTCTCAGGAAAATCTTTAATAGGTGTTATGAAATCTTTATGCATTTTTCAAAACAAACACAAGGGTCTTAATGTTTTGAAACAATTTTGAGTGTAGTAAAACCCTTTTATACTGCAACCGTTAAACCAAAACCCTGGTTAACCGAAACCATAATAAAAAGTTCAAATTAATTGCAAAATGAGCTAGGCAACAGGAGTTTTCTGTTCTAGTAGTTAGTCCGGCTTGGCTAACAGATTGTAATGGAACATATGAGGACATGGTTCTCATACCCTGAGATAAAGTTCAGGAAACAATTATCCATTATCTTAAAGAATATATTTTGTGAATGCAGTTGTAGGTTTTGAGATGACAGCAATTAAAATTACATAAAAAACTACTTTTGTAGATCTCTTTGAATAGATATAGACTTTAAATTCCTTCCGTTAATTAACTGAAAAAATATATTATTACCGAAACCATAATAAAAAGTTCAAATTAATTGCAAAATGAGCTAGGCAACAGGAGTTTTCTGTTCTAGTAGTTAGTCCGGCTTGGCTAACAGATTGTAATGGAACATATGAGGACATGGTTCTCATACCCTGAGATAAAGTTCAGGAAACAATTATCCATTATCTTAAAGAATATATTTTGTGAATGCAGTTGTAGGTTTTGAGATGACAGCAATTAAAATTACATAAAAAAAAAAACTACTTTTGTAGATCTCTTTGAATAGATATAGACTTTAAATTCCTTCCGTTAATTAACTGAAAAAATATATTATCTGATCGGACTTTGCCCCTTAATTTCATTTTGTTGGTGTTTTACTGTAATGAACCAGTTTAAAGGTCAATCAGACATCACCTCAAAAACCACATTTTTGGGTATAAGGAGACCCAAAACTCAAAAAAAAAAAACTCTAACTCGAAAATTTTGACAAAAACAATTAGGGATGGACGGGATTGAATTTTTTGTTCGGGACGGTAAAGTCATGAGTATTGCAGTGACCAAAAAAGGCAAACAAAATAAATTTTTACCGTTTGTGGCACTGATCTAAAACCTCATGGAAATCTCATATTTTACTAATCATTAATCAGTAATAAATATCCTGCAACAGTTCTTTAAACAAAATACAAAACCGCAACTAGTTAGTCTTACATTTTATAATTTTTGCACTATTGTTGTATGTGCTGCTACCTATGGAACATTCTTACTTCTTTCAAATCCTTAACGGCCTCAGCATGATCAATGTGTATTGAGTAGTAATTTGATTTGAAATTACGATACCAGAAAGGAGTATGTGGAACTGTACGTAGACTTCATCCTCAACAAGTCAGTCGAACGTCACTTTCGAGCCTTCAGGGATGCATTCCATAAAGTGTGTGGAGGGAGGGTGTTGAAACTCTTCCATGCACACGAACTCATGGCTGTTGTAATAGGTAAGTTTCATTCTAAATATTGGTTTGCCCTTGGATTTAACTGAAAGCACTAAATAAATGTTTCATGACTTTTGAATAGTACAGTCGAACTTTTATAAGACTAATTTCAAAGAGTAGGGGAAAAAAATTGTATTATTGAGGTATTTTTAATAAAGAGGTTTAATACTGCCGTTATTCGTCTTATAGAGGTTTCTCCTCGCTCTGAGACAATGGGATGGGTGGGGGTTTAATGTAGAGACAAGCTTCTGTTTGTTTTGAAAACTACGTACTATAGAGGTTAGGATCATGATAAATTCATCTTACAGAGGTCGCTTTCGTCTTTTAGAGGTTTTGTGCTAAGAATATTCTAATATATAATTGTATATTGTATGGAGGTTAATCAGCCCATGTCACAAAAAAAATTTGTCTTATAGAGGAATTTGTTTTACTGAAGTTCGTACTAACGAGGTTCGACTGTATACTGTAGAGGTTTTACGACATTGGTTGTAATTTCATTGATGACGTAGAGTTCTAAGTTCATTGAGAACAGGAAGCGAATGTTTGACATAGGCCAACAGGGTATCCATCGACCGGGAATTATGCGTGATTTTTTTGAACCGGAAAAAACCGGGAATTATGCTTGAATTTTGTATTCAACCGGGAATTTTTCGCCGCGATCGTGCATGACGACGATGGCATTTCCGTGACCGTGGGAGACGACGATGGCGTTTACGTGATCGCGCATGCGAACGATGACGTTTCCGTGACTGCGGGAAACGATGATCATCTCCAAAAATATTGCTTGAGGATGACGACCGCGGGAAATTATTTGAATTAAGCTACGATCGAGGAAGATTATGATAACTTTACTGTGATCGTGGGAGACGATTATAATAATGTTTCCGTTACCGCTGAACAATATCAGGAAATTTTTCACATCCACAGAAGACAGTGGTGATGTTTCTGTTACTGAGTGAGATATTCAGGATTTTTCAGTTATCGCTGAAAACGATGATGGTGTCTCTACGACTGTGTTAGATTATTACAATATTACCTCGAGTTTGTGTGTGTGTAAGGTCATACCTGAAAGCTTTAAGAAATCGATTGTTTTTCCATTGTTTAAAAAGGGAGATATTAATTCAGTTCAAAATTATAGAGGATTGTCTTTTATAAATTGTATTGGTAAAATATTTATAGGAATGCTAAATAATAGACTTACAAATTGGGTCAATGAAAACCACATCTTATCGGAGTTCCAGGCGGGTTTCAGACAAAACTATTCCACTATAGATAATATTTTTAATTTGGCATCGATGATTAAACTACGTTTAGCGGAGAAAGGTGGCAAATTGTATGCATTTTTTGTGGATTTTTCAAGTGCGTTTGACACTATTGATAGACGATCGCTTATGTTAAAACTTTCATCAATCGGCGTATCAACGCACGTTTTAGATGTTTTGAGGAGTTATTATTGTAACACATCTGCAGCGGTTTGGTGTAAGGGCGGCATTTCAGATGAGTTTGAGACAAAGACAGGTTTAAGACAAGGATGTATAGGAAGTCCTCTCCTGTTCAGCTTATTCGTAAATGATTTGCCAGAGGTGCTGGAAGGTGGCTGTAATTTCGGTGGAAAGAGAGTAAATGTTTTGATGTATGCAGACGACATCGTATTGTTGGCCCCCACAGCAACAGTGTTACAAATGATGATTAAAAACTTGGAGTGTTACAGTTCAATTTGGAACCTTACAGTAAATATATTCAAATCCAAAATAATGGTTTTCAGGAAAGGTGGTAGATTATCAGGACATGATAGATGGTGGTATAAGGGCAAACAGGTGGAAGTGGTAGATAGTTATAAATATTTGGGAATGTTATTTACAACGACATTGTCATGGGAAAAACATTTCATAGAGAAGAGGAGGCTAACTAATTATGCAATTAATTCAGTATGGCAAAGGCTAGTAGACAGCAACAAAGTCCCGCTGCAGATTAAAATATTATGCTTCGAATCTATTCTCAGAGCTATTTTGTGTTACGGCGCGCAAGTTTGGGGGTTTTCAGAAATTTCTCAGTTAGAAAATGCTCAGAAAACGTTTATTAAAAGGATGTTTAGATTGCCACATAACACTCCCAACTATATTGTTTACTTAGAAACATGTTTTGAAAAGTTGTATTTCTTTAATCTACAAATTAACGCAACATACATTTTTAAGGTTTTTAATATGCCAGAATCACGCCTACCAAAAATTATTGCTAAATCTGTAATTGGAAAAGGTATTTTTTGGGCCAAAGAGTGGAAATGTCTAGGGCGAAAACACGGTTTGGATATCAATTTCGAGTCAGCAGATGTTTTTGAGGGATTAGTGAAGATAATTGAGGCGGAAAGAGATAGCTGGAGAATTGATATGGTTGGCAGAGCGCGTACATCGCAATATCACCAACAACTGCTTGCCGTTGACCTTGACCTAGGGCCCAGGAGTTTTCTCACTGATAGCATCAATATAAGTCTTATCTCATGGGTCATTAAGGCCCGAGCAGAGCTGGTTGATTTGAATCACAAACCATGGATAACGAATAAAAATCATTTCTGTAGTTTGTGCAATTTGCGTGAATTTGAAACAGTTTTTCATTTTGTTTCTATTTGCCCAATTTTAGGTGATATCAGGGAGTATTGGTTTGGAAAACGAAGCATGCATTGGGAAGAACACATAGAATACATAAATGGTAGGGATTGGCGTAAATTAGCAAACTTTATGAGGGAGGCGTGGAGAAGGAGGTGGGAGTTAATTAGAGAATTTAATTACGAATAAATTAAATGATTCTTTTTAAAATTCAAAATTGTTTTATTATCTTTCTAATTTATAAATTAAATCAAAACAATAATTATGTCAAACAACTTGTCAGCCTGTCTTCTTAAATATTCATTGTAATTGTTATAGTTTTCATTATGCGTAAACCTTTTAAATTCTAATAATTTAAAAAATAAAATAATAAAAGTTATGTAAACAATATTATGAAAAAGGTATTTTTTTTAGTTTTGTTGAAAATGGATGTAAAATTGTATGTAAATTTGTGTATGTTAGTAAGTGTATTTTGTTTCAACTTAATTTTCATAAATGTGTTTTCCAGGTGTGCCAACCAAACAGACGGTCGTAGACCATTGTTTAATTAAGTGTATGCTTATTTTATGAGAGGAATGTTTATGTTAAAATAAAGCACTTTATTCATTCATTCATTCATTCATTCATTCATATTACCTCGAGTTTGGCTTGACCAAAAATTTCAAAATGGCACACTTCTAGAAAATTTTTTTATATTTTTTTTTGTAAATCTTCATTTACCTTTAACGTTGTATTTATTTAATGTGTTTAGGAGGGTTTAAAACATAAATTGGCTACGTGCTATTTTTGTAATTTCTGCATTATTATTTCGGTAGTCCACTTGGAAAACAACCCATTAACTCCAAAATTATACGATATGAGAGTACATAAAGCCAGGGGTTGGTGTAGTAATCCTCCAGAAAATTTGGTAAAATTGAAATTATCAGTATTAAGAATCTATTTTTAGGTGTCTGTTTAGAGATTTGATAAATTTTTGTATCGACATATCACTATTTTTAGGAAGTTATTAATAAATTGCAGGTTTAAGGATTAGTTTTTAATTTTTTGATTATTTAATCAGTAATATTATAAAAATTGAATACGTGTGTCAGGCAATATTACAGCAATCATAATTTTTTCCCCTTAACTGAGAATGCTCTTTCCGATAACTAAAATAGCGAGCTGTGTTAGCGCTAAAACAGCATTGCGGGAGTTGGCGCAAAACACGTTGGAAATTTTAGTATGAAAAGTACGACCTGAACTACCTGGAATTTTTTTTACTCATGAATTACTCATGCATTTTTCTGGTTGGCCTGGTGGACACCCTGGCCATGGTTCAGTATATGGTTCAAATATGGAGTTAAAACTAATGTCTAATAATGGAGGAAAAACTTTAAGAGCCACTAAGCATAAGTTACCCATTAAACATCAATCATACAATACTTCTCTTTTATGCTCATGTCATAACCTTCCTGAACAGGCAAATTTGTTCAAATGAATAAAAATAAAAATCTAATTTTGGCACTTTTTTATACATTTTAACTTACAACAAATAACTTTTTCTTAAAGAATAAATATTTTTTTACTCAAAAGTTCAAAATAAATGGTGCAGATATATTTGGTAGGTCTACCTGTCTTTGAATATCTAGAAAGATTGCACATTTATCCATACCTTTCCTTACCAAATATACAACAGGTTTTAAATAATGAATAAAATTTGAACTAATCAATATAATAAATAAATAATGAACATATTAAAAAATAAATGTATATGAACAATTTCAACAGTATTTAATTTTTAAAAATATTTTGACATTAAAAAGTTGAAGTGTTAAGTGCGGGTAGCTTGCACGTTCAAGGTTACAGCCCTTCTGCAGAGTGCGGAAAATAACCCCATACAAACTGGGTTACACACCAGCTGGTTACTGTACAAACTTAACCGGTGGGTCTACTGAATCGGCGGAAATATCCACTTCCCATCCGCAACATCTGCAGCCACTATGTGGATATATTTATCTCCCATCCAAGGAAGGGTTTTTAAATCTTTCCATAGTGGAAAACAGACTGAAGCAATGTTTTAATTTGTGTGGATCCTGCAGACTGAAATGTTTTCATCTCATTCTTGGCCGATGCATTAATGGTGTTCCTCCCCGCACTCCATAAAAAATCAATAAATTAGACCACCTATTGATTTTTTTCAGGAAATGAGAATTATGACTGGGAAGTGTTAGAGAACAATACCAACTACAAGGGTGGCTACTCCAGCTCAGATACAACCATCCGCATGTTCTGGGAGGTGTTCCATGAGTTGCCTCTGGAAGAGAAGAAGAAGTTCCTGCTCTTCTTGACTGGCACTGATCGCATTCCCATTCAAGGTTTGTAATCCGGGCAATACTTTAAATTAGGTAGTAGTGGTAATCAAATGCTGTAGGTCAATAGGTCAACTCATCTCATGTTTATGAGAGGGTAGTTGCTTTCATCAAGTTAAAATTTAAATGTTGATCAGAGATATCTTAATAATACTGTACTGTTTATAAATATATATAGGCTACTTACAGTCTTTGCAATCCTGAAAAATTATAGCACTATGGCCGTTTCGGAGATCACTCCATTGTCGGGTGCGTAGTCATAGTCCACTAAACTAAATCACTATTTACATATTTAAGGTTAAGGGTGTAGCATAGAGCACAAGGGCCTAGATTTAAAAAAAATCTCAAAAAATCCTATTTACATATTGAAATATTTTACGGCATTACTTCATATTTAATTCAATTCAATTCAAAGATACTTTATTCACATATATACAGAAGTATACATGAATGGTGTTCTGAACAATACATAATACATTATATCGCCTAGTAACTAGATAGAAAAGTTATACATTATACATATATATAAAATAAATATTTATTTAAATGACCTTAAATTGAAATTAATTAAATTGAATTGTCAACATCTGTAAAATAGTCATTTAAAGCATTAACAATAAAATAAGGATCTCCTTCAACAGCTCCCTCTCTCCACAATTTAATTTTTTGATGAGAGTAGTCCTTGCCCCTTGATAATTCCTCATTGACCAACCGCCTGACAGTTTTGGTAACATTAGTTGATTTGCCAATTTTATTAATAAAGTATTTCCTTTTCTTATTTATAATACATTTCTTATACTTTTTTTAAAGAAGTTTTAACTCTGTTTTTGACTCTTTATTTTTTCTCTTTTCTTTAGTAGCATCAATAAGATTTTTACGTTCACTCTTTATCTCATCATCCATCCAACTCAGTTTTTTTAAATTTTCTTCGAGTATTTACAACAGGAAAATTCTTATGAAAATAATATGTTATTACACTGTAAAAATACAGTTCATTCATTGCATTCATTGCATCAAAGTTTAATAGTACATAAAAAACATTAAAGCACGAGCACGGCTAAAAAACTGACGACCGACTGATCAAGCTTTATCACTGCAAGAGTAGGTGGACGACTGGAACAGCTGATATTAGGTGTAACAACATAGCTGCTCAAATTATACCTTACTAGTGTATATGTTGCACGAAATCAAGCAATTGCAAAGTATTTCAGGAGTTGCTTGGAAACAAATAACAGTCATAATTTCCAATGAGTTTAAAAGAGTCAACTCAAAGATTATGTAACTAATGGAAATACGATGTTCATAACAGTTCAATATAATCAACATTTCTTGTAAATATCTTATAATTTTCCAAAGCTGATGTCATTTATTAATGTTTTCTAAAAACTTTTCCCACTTATAGCCGCATTAGGTTGTCCATGTTTATCTTCGTCATTGATAATAGCCTGCATGGGGGTCTATTGCATTCACTCCACGTTCGTTCACTCCACCCAATAATTTATACAAATTCTTTGGCTGTTCGTTCGCTCCACTGTTCATTCGATCCACTGGGTACCGTCAGCTCCAGAAGTAGATGGGCCTGTAGAAAATAAAAATTGTAACATCATTTTGTAAAATTGTCTACACGGTACAAATTCGGTTCGGTACAGCCTATTATAATAATAAATTACTTTCAGTTTACTATCGTAGTCAACTACAGTTGGTTCCGAGCACATAAAAGTCTTATCAGATGTTTGTTTACGATCTTCATAATTTATTACTAGGGTGATGATGCAATAAAAACCCCATATAAAGCAATCCCAAATCCATTAACATTTTATCGTGACAATAATTGTTGTATTCAAGTACTTCCAGGAACTGTTGAGTTTTATCACTTTTATTTCTTCATGACTTTCTCCAATTCTATTTTATCATAAAAATAATAGTTTTATGATACTGTTAAATGTTATCTCTAACTAGGTCAGTATTTTTGTGGGTATTCAACTTGCCGCTGGCCATTGCCTACTGCCATAAAACTGTTTATGGCTACATATTAAACTTGTAACTAATCTACAATCTTATTTTATAAGTTAAAATATTTGTTATAGATATTTTATCTTTCTATTGACAACCACAAGCATAGTTGTTGTTGTTTGCATAATTTTTTTCATTATTCAAGCCTACTCGGTCTCAAATTATGTCATTGCATGTTCTGTACCTTGTCTTATAGTTAGATGTGGCTGTTATGTGGCCTTATACTGATAAGGCTTAAATGTTTTTTAGTTTCCTGTTTTTTTTTTTTTTTTTTTTTTTTTTGTTGAAGGTACTTTATGCAATCTAAATCTTTTGAACTAGGTAGTTATTTTGCTACCCTCATTGTAACCTAATCAATTATATATAAGTCCTCCTAAATAATTAGGTTTAGGCCTGGGTCTTTTGATTCTTTGGAAGAGCTTTAAAATATACTAAGAAAATTTGATTGAGCCTGAGATAAACTAATGATTGATATGATTGATATTGTGGATGTTAACTTTGTAAATGAAAAAACAATAATCTTACTCTGTGATAATCCAAATTTTAGTTTCAGAAAAAAAACTTTGCAAGAGTTGTATCCATCTTATAACTAGTTTTGATGCTGATAAAAAAAGATGCTCTTTGCCATTACTTCATCATAACCTCCAGTGAACAGCTGGCAACTACACTGTCATCGTGTACTGAGTGCTTTTATATGTTTTAAAATCTTTTTTAAACAACTAGACATTGTGTTGGTTGGAAATAATTTACCAGTTGTGTAAAATTATATTGTCAATAAATGTTTCAAACATGTTTATTCCTAAAAACTTTATCATATTTTTAAAACCACTTTTATCATGGGTATTGAAAGTATCTCAGAGTAAAATAGGTAAAGCCTTTATCTTAACTGTGATTTTTCTTGACACAATCTTCGTAGTAGTAAAAGGTTTTGTTTTAATAATGTGTAGTACAGTAATTGTTGTTGCAAAACCATGAATGTAGGACACTATCCATTTTCATAGTTATGTCAATAGTGATGTGGGCCGGGAATATTCCCAGTGGGAGGGAACTTATAAAATGGGAATATTGCCGGGAATATTTCTTTGGCCCAAAACTGGAAATATTCCCAAAAATTGGGAATTTATGAAAATTTTAAAATTCTGAACGTTTTAACACATATTAACGGTTAAAGAACCTTAAAACTACGTTACCTATAGTAAATTCTTACATTTAAATCTAAGAGTTGTCATGCCATGTACATTTCTGTAAAATTTTTTTGAATTTATGAAACTGAATGGATTTTAAATATTGCATTCCAAGAAAAGAAACAGACTTTTATCTGAGTGAGCAGCAAAACTGTCAGTTCTTTCTTACAACTGGAAACTCATGAATGCTCAACCTCTAAGAGAGAGTAAGCAAGCAGAAGGCAACCCAGAGGAAACAGAACAGGAAGAAAATGAAGACATCCTGTCCCTTCTCACAATGGAAGAAGGGGTTGAGGATGAGATTGACTTGACAAGTAACAATGAAGACGATTTTTGTGGATTTAGAGATGTAGATGACGAGAAGGACAAAGGAAATATAATTGACATAGAAAGTGACAGTGACTAGGAAACATAAAAATTAATAAGGAAAGCAAATATGTCATTTCAGTATTTCCCATCTAACCTTTACGTTTTTAATGTGTAGTCTTGATTTAATACACTAAATTATTTTTTTTTCAAATATTATTTTTATTTCCTGTATAATTACTAGGTTATGTTTGTTTCTGGTTATCTATATATACTTATTTGATACGCAAGCAGGTTTTTTGTGACATTTAGGCCTACTCCTCCAAAACTACTGAACCAATAGATGTGTTTTTGGTGTCATTGGAAAGAGTGTAACGTGAAGTTGTACAGGAAATTTTTTTAGGGAAATAATTAGAAAGTGAGGCCCTGGGGCCCTTTAAAGTTTCTTATTCCTCCAAAAGATTAAAATGGAAAGTCATGACCTGCGATGCGGAAGAAGGTCAGCCTAAAAAAAATAAATGTGCCATGTTTGATTAAAATATTTCTATAAACAAGCAAACTACAACATTTTACAATATTCCCCATAAGGATAGCATAGGAATTTTAAATATGCTATTTTTTAAATTTTTTTAATAAACAATAACCGTACAAAAACATTTTGGTATACTAAATTATTTGTTTTTTAGTCCTTTAAAATAGTCTAGAGATAAATTGGTAAATTTTGTGTTTTGAGGGTAAAAAATAAGAAAAACCATTTTTTACCCCATAAAACCCTGTTCCCATGGTCCGATCATGCTGGTTTGCTAACTCATTAAGTTTATCCCGGCATACATCCTCAAACCAAATTGAATCAAAATCGGAGAAAAATTACTCAAGTTATCACGTTCACTGACAGGCTACATATGTCCGTGTATATACATGCCATTTACGGACATAAAAATTTTAACAAACAGTGCTTTTGGCCTCTAAGGACATCAAAACGAAAAAGTATATCGGTCCCGGCTCAGGGTATTATCATATTATGTGCTCGTTGGTCTTACCTTGCCAACTACCGGTACGGTAAAAGCTACTTCCCTATAGGGACATACGCTAAAAGAAAACTGAATTAATACTGTGCTTCATTTCTTAGTAATAATTGAAAGAGCCGATTTGCAAACTATGGAAACGTAGGAAAGTCATAGAACACCACCAAGGAGAAGAAATAGAAATAATGTTTTTTAAGAATTTATAATCATTATTATGGACAGCCTAATGCGGCTATGTGTAAGGCTATTTGTAGAAAACACTCAAAAACAAGATCAGCTTTTGAAAAATGATAAGATATTTACAAGAAATGTTGATTATATCGATCTGTTATATAGATCTTGAGTATTTCCATAATTCTTGAGGCGAATCTTTTAAAGTCATCAGAAATTATGACTTTTATTCGTTTAAAAATAACACCTGTAATACTTAGCAATAGCTTGAATTCAAGCAACAGGTACACTAGTTGTATTAAATCAA